CTCTACTCTGAGCTCCCCCAGCCTTTTTTGTTAGGCTGAGCTTGAGTACCCTTCTTCAAACTCTTGTATCCAGGATCTTGTTTTTTCCCCAGTCCTGGTCTATACCCAATGACCATATGTGAGAGTTGGAACATAGACAGACCAGTAAATCGAGAGCAAAACTTTGTAAATCTTTCTGGAAAGTCTTCTTTATGCAACCTGCAGTGCTGTTGTTTCTGTTTAATATTTCAGCAGTCCCCACCCCGTCTTGCTTGGCGATGGAATATTTAGAGGTCACACGGTGTGCTTTTGTGTGTCTTTCCTGCACGGTGTCCCCTGACAGCTGTACTCGCTCAGGGTGTGAGGAAGAGACAGAGGCCAGAGCCACAGTCACAGGTCTCAGACCAGTGGGGTGTGAAATGAGTCGGAGAGCCAACATACTCTCCTCCTGCTGCACAAACTTGAAGCCGCTGCGAGGCTGAGTTTGTGGACCTGCGAGAGTGAGGACAATAGAAGCAAAGAGCTGTGAAAAACAAAGAAGAGCAAACGAACAATAAAACGCTGACATGTTTGTTTTAGTCCTGCATTAATCTTAGAAAATATTCATGAATGTTTTGGCATTTGGAGTCATGTTTTTTTTTAATTCAACAAGTCATCACAGTCATCAGTGCTGGACAGCTGGGCCAAGCGGTCCAAACTCTGCAGAGCCTTATAAGTTTTAGTTATTCTGTGCGCCCCTTTAAATTAAAAATATATTCACTATTGAAGATGCACATTAAATGTCTAAATCTAAATATGTATTAGCCTTTGTCAGAAATCCACATTGCACTAGGCTGATTAAAATCAAAATAAACAAAGACAAGGAAAACGATGAACTCACACTAGCCCTAAATCTGCCTTTAAGATGTGCATGCACAAGCATTAATTTGTGCCCTGATGCCGTTGCAAGTGATGTGAAAACAGAGTAATCTACTTCATCTATTTCACACCAATGAGAGGGGAAAGGTACAAAAATAAACTTTACAATGAAACGTGGCTGTCACAAAACCAGGTATTTTTAAAGTTCAAGTTTACTGTAATGTAGAAACAATGTCACACAGTAAAGTTCAGATTCTTTGCATCTTCCTGTATCTTATGTTGTGAGATAAAGAAAAAAATGGTAGACGCTTACAAATAAATTTGATGAATTATAAAAAAGTACCCATATGATGTAAGCATATGATAAAGGTGACTCATTTACATAAAAAAAAACATTAAAACAAAGACTAAAATTCATGTTTAATAGTGTGAATGTTTATGAAGCATTCACTCTATTGTGATCCATTTTTCTTCTATAAATCGTTTATCAAAACGTTCAGCTCTTTCAGGACAATCCTGCTATGAATTTTGGTATTGGTGCAACTTTAGCTTTTTGAAATATTTAGCCTTTTCCGCCATTTTTTTCTCATAGAAAATGAATTGAGCTCATTTTACAGCTTTCAAATCTTTAGATCTGTTTAAAACCTTTTACTGCTCCTTTCACATTTTCTTCTGGTTCAGCTTCTTTCAGCTTCCTTCTGCAAATTTTAACTTGTTTTCAGCTACTTTCAGCTGTTTTGGGATCCTTTCTGCTAACTAAAACATGTGCTTTTTGTAATTTCCTTCTGCTAATTTCAGTTGTTATACTCTTTTCAGCTTATTCTGCAAGTTTCAGCTTTTTCTGCTATTTCTGCTACCATTTAGCTGTTTTATGCTAATTTTAGCCTTTTCAGCAAATTCCACATTTTTTGCACTCATTTAAACTTTTTTCTATCTAATTCAGCAAAAACGTGCTCTCTCCACTTCCTTCTGGTAATTTAAACAACTTTCTGCTTTTTAGATGCTTTTCAACTGTTTTAGTTTTGGTTATTTCAGCTTTTTCAGATAATTTCCACTTCTTTGTGCTCATTTCTGCTTCTTTCAGCCTAATTTGCCAAACATGCTCTTTCTGCTTTCTTCTGCTAATTTAAGCTTGTTCTACCTTTTCATCTAACTTTTTAACCTTTTTAAGCTACTTTCAAATGTTTTTAGATAAATTTTAGTTTTGCGTGGTAACTTCTTCAGCCGGTAACTTCTTTCTGATAATTTCAGCTTGTTGCGCCTCTTTCAGCTTATTTATGCTAGTTTCATCTTTTTCTACTCTTTTAACTATTATTTAGTTGCTTTGTGCTAAATTAAGTTTTTTCAGCTTCTCCACATTTATTTTAGCTCATTTCAGCTCGTTGCATTTCCTTCTGGTAGCTTAAGCTTCTTTTTGCCTTTTCAGCAATTTTTCAGCTGATTTTTGCTCATTTCAGCTTTTTTACACTAATTTCCTAATTTCTGTTCTCATTTTTGCTTATTTAAACCTAATTATGCAACTATGTGTTATTTTCTTCTGATAACTTTGACTTCAGCATATATATTCTTTAGATAATTTCAGCAGATTTTTAGCAAGTTCTTCAGCAATAAGCATCCACACTGCATTTTCACAGGAAATGCAATTTCTCTAGTTCTGTTTGTTTTGTAATTTGTATCTATTTTTCCTCTAATCACTCAAAATATCAGTGTTGGTAAGTGAATAATTTTAAAGTGTGTCTTGTGTAGAATTTAGTAAATTATTAAAATACAGTATTGACATTTACTTTTTAAAGTAATTTATTTCAACATACTGAAAGAAGAATCATTAGCTACACCAAGTATCATTAATTTGTTAGAAAACTTGCCTAAAGAGTTTAAACAGAAACTCACAGTAGTTAATTCCTTTTTTGAAAAAATATTTTGGTCTAGTTTATGGTAGCTATTTGTTGTGTATAAGTTTAAATTAAAATTGCAGAAAACATTCAAAGTACATCTACAACTGATTAATATTGGGTTTAATTTATATTCAAGATGACACAAAAATAGCTGTTTATAAACTCAGTCAATTTTAGATATATTGTCTTAATATTTGACATGGTAGTAGTTGAGACAGATCCCCAAAACACATTCTGAGCCCAAAAAGACTGCACAGACCATTTTGTTGTTGTTTTTGTTTCAGTTTTGTCAGTATTTGAGTTAAATGCGTGTCTGTTAGCAAAACATCACATGAACTGCTGGGCAGATTTTAATTAAACTTTCAGGAGTTTATCACTGGATATAACTCTACAATTGATTAACTTTTAGAACAAATCCATTCAAGATGGTTGCCACAGCCAACTAAAATTAGAAAACACAAAAAATGGCGATAAGGCAGCGAGTTTTGGAGATATTTTGCTGAAATGTGGTGTGGCTGGGCCCTGTGATGGACTTGCGACCCGTCCAGGGTGTACCCCGCCCCTCGCACAGTGATTGCTGGACATGGGCACCGGCGACCCCCGTGACCCAAAATGGAATAAACGGGTAAAGATAATGGATGGATGGATGGTGGTGTGGCTGTAAGTGAGTCATTCATAACACTTACATCCAAGTGTTTTTTTCTGCATTGAGGTTTTTGCCTACAACTTTTGCATTACATGTTGGAGTCAACCTGTTTGTCTGTTAGCAAAATGTCTCATGAACCACTGGATAGATTTTATTGAAACTTTCAGAAAGTAATCCATTGATATACATATAAAACCGTTTACCTTTTGGAGCCAATCTAATTTAAGATGTTTGCCACAGCCAACACAAATGGATATGTTGAGCTAATTGTAGCTGAGCGTCATTCACAACCATGAATGGGACGCATCACAATACTGCAAGAGAAAATAACATTATTTTTTAAGGTTTAAACAAAATTACTGCATTTTTGTCATTCTTTCACAAGATTTTTTTTTAACTATTAACAGTAAAGTAAAAAAAAAAAGCAATTAGGCTTATTAATAATGTGGGATATTGTGAACCAACTACTAATCTTTTTATTCAAAGTAAAACTTTAAAATTTAATGACATTGTATATATAAAAATACTGTAAATAATGTATAACGCAATGAATAAAAGTCTTCCTTCTGGAATTCAGAAATTATATAAGTTAAGATTGAGCAAATATAATTTACAAGGTTTGTTAATATTTGAACAAGCTATAGAGAAAAGCAAAGTAAAATCTAGATGTATTTCAGTTAGACATAAAACTGTGAAATGAAGTGAATCATCATCATTATGTGCTTTTTTGGTGAGCGTTAAAAGAGCCTTAAAATGTAAAATTATAAAAGCGATACTGTTATGTATGTACATATGTATTGTGTAACCATGCATGTGAGTATGTGTATGTATGTATATACATGCATACTTAAATACAAATGTGTGTATGACTTATGTATGTGAACAGTAGATATCTTTAGTGTAGACTGCTGAGTAGGCAAGTATAAGCCTCGGCGTCAGCCTATTTTTTTTTTTTTTTTTGTAAATTATTGATTTTTAAAGTATTTTGTATTGTTTTCCTTTTTGTAATGTTATTAATTCACCAAAATAAAGTTGAGTTGAGAAAATATAAGTCCAAAAACTCTGGCACAAAAGGGTCCTATGGATTATTTCAAGGAATTTATTTGAAAAAGGTTCAATCGCAGATGATGTCAGTAATAAACTGCTGATTTAAATACATATATAGTTTAAGATTTAGTTCAGTCGTTTTCGTTTGATGCTCAGATAAAGTCCGCAGGATCACCAACTCCAAGAAGCCCCTCCCCTTGATTGGCTGAGCGTGCTGTCAATCACCCCAAGCCTGCTCGGCAGCACCGCCCACAGACTCACAACGGCAGCGCAGCTTCTTTCTCCCCCTTTTCATCCACAATGATTTTTCAAGACACTTGCGACTCGTCTGCGACGGCAGGAGGAAAGAGCCGAGGAACCGAGAGCCTCACCTCCTCCAACAACGAGTGAGGTCGGGATAAGAAAAAAAAAATTAAAAAAAATAAAGGAGCTCCAGAGGGAAGAAGAAGGCGAGAGGAAGAGAAGAGGCTGTGGAGTTAACACGGAGAGGAACAACGGCGAGGCTTGAAGCTCCAGGGAGGAGTGCCTGATTGCTTTCTTCTAAAACAAAGTGTCTAATTTGATCCAAATTCGACATGTCATCGTCCGGTAAAGACAACAGCGCTGCCCAACACGCCAATTACGTGGGACCTTACCGCTTGGAGAAGACGCTGGGGAAAGGACAGACAGGTTAGTTGGGACAGCTTCATCGAATCCAATCTTCATTCGCTCCGTTTTATTCTCGAAGCGCTCCGCTGCAAGTTGATTCTGTGGCGGGTCGCGCGCCCGCAGGTGATAAACAGTTCCCAACACCTGCCCTGCCTCGTGATGCGTTCGAGGGGCTTCGGATATCTGACATAATCATTGTTCACACAGTGGGACGAGCGAGCGCTGGGGGGTGGTGGTGGTGGTGGTGGTGGGGGGGAGATTTATGGGTTGGATTTCTGCGTGGCTTTTCTCTGCTGCGCGCGCTGGCGTTGGACCCGAATGTGTGCGCCCATGAGCGTGCACCGTCCGAGCCCAGTGATGACACGGGCAGTGAACATGAACTTTTAGTGTTCCAGCACTAGGCTTTCCCTGCATGTTTGCGTGTGCGCGTTCTCTGATTGGAGCAGAACCCCGTTAATCCCGATTTGCCTGATGCATTGATCTATTCTTAGTCCTCAGGCGCGCACGGATGGGAGAGACAGGCGTCTCTCCTCCGATGTGGAGGAGAACGTCCCACCTTGACACCCAGTGAGCTGCTTGCAGAGCTGGGAAATCAGATTTAATCTATGTTAATGCATCCCAGGGGATGGAGCCAGGCTCCCTGAATAAAGGGTCGCCTGCATTATGTCAGCCTGACAGCAGCAGTGACGGTGCATTTTCTAAAGTTGCATGGCGCACGTGCTGCAGGGTTAAGAGAGGATGCTCTGGGAATAAGAGGTTTGCTGCTGTCAGTAAATTAGCATGTTTCAGTGCAACCTGGACAGTGATGATCCTCTAGAGAGGCAGAAAAACAGGCCTTTTGATTCCCAGCAACCCCTAAAAAAGGGGGATACAGATGAACTTTTCCTCTGCTCCCGTCTGTGGATATGTTCCTCCCATCTGCTGTCTAAAATGGCTACAAAAAGCGTTACTTCTTCCCCTACTCAGTCCAGCTGGTCATGCTGAGCAGCCATGTGTGTAAATGTGCTTGTGCCCTCCTAAACAGTATGCTTTCTCAAAATATACCCCCCTGGTCACTTCATTCACCTGAGCTGTGCTAACTGTTTATTAGTGGGTGTTGTCTGCATGTCTGCTTTGAGGTTAGCATGGTGTTTGCCTTGATAACTGATGCCTCCCGTTGCACCTTGTGATGCATTTTAACATTTCCCATCAGTTTCCTCTTAAAATATACATACTGTACCTGCTGAATCCACAGCTCGTTTCTTCTTGCTGTGCTGATGTTGTGATGTGCTCCTATGGCCATGTTTTCTGCAGCACCTTTTCTATTCTAAAGCTATATTTATTTGGGCATTTGTGTTGACAGGAGGAATTCTCGCTAAATATCAGACTCAGCTCTTTTTCAGACGGCTCACTGCAGTCTCTAATGGGTGTTTATGGAGTTGGTATGGTCGGCTTGGTACAGACATTTAATTATGTGGTGTCACTGAGATCATCGTGGACTCAGTTTCTATTTGCGGGAGTGTTTTTGGGGTCAATTTTGATGCATTTCTTTCACTTGCTTTAGACCCACAGCGTATACATTTATGGCCAGTTTGGACAATAACGTCTACCAAACTTTTTTCTTTCTTTCACCTGCTGGACAAATGTGAACAATTTCTGAAACAATGAAAACACAAATCCTGGTTTCTCAGTTACGGATTTTCAAGTTCAAATGCTTTGAAAATTCAAAAATACAGCAATTCTTGTGTATATATCTTGAGTCAGAAAAAAATAAATCATTTAGTCACTAAAATCTGTTGTGTTTGACCATGCCAAACCTATTCCAACTACTGACAGTGTGTAATATCCCATTTGTTTGTTAACCATTTATTAATCTGTCAGTTTTTCTTTCCCCAGGCCCCATGAAAAGTGTTGGCCTGGCAACTGTGAGTGCCCAGTAGGCTGGGCTCGATCATGACTGGCAGCAAGGATTGTCCAGTGAGCCAACTCCCTTGTGAGGTTTCTCAGACTGGGATTGGCTTGGATTACTAGAGGCAAGGTGGAAAACTTCCTCTTGCTGTCCAGCTCAGAGTAGTTGTGTTGTTTCATGTTCATTAAGTGGTTAGACATTTCTTTGATTTGGCCTCTTGATTGTATTCATGCAGCTGAAATCCACACTGCTCTCACTTTCTACACCTCTATACATTTGCACTTGCATAAAACTAGTGGCATTCATTGCTACGTCACCATAGGATGCACTCGTTTCACAAATGTTTCTTGTCAAAAGGGACTGAATGTGTCTATGAACAGTGCAGACCACAGTTTCTCTTCAGTTTCCTCAGAGTGATTGTACGACTCCTCCATTGTCAGGTGCGCATTGGGGCCTGAAAAGATCTATAGATATGAACTGTCTGCATGGCTGGTTACTGATTGGTGCTGAAGCAGCACAAGGCAATTTCTAAGTGAAAGATGGTGTTGCTGTGCTTCAGTGGCAGAATCTGAACAATGTATCACATGTCTTCTGAAAGTTGGACACCCATCAGTCATAACATTTTAATCACTGACATGTAAACTTGGTCCTTCTGCTTAACTTTTCACCCTGAAATTATATAGATGTTACTGGGATAAACTCTCCAGAAAAGCTGAGATCTCTAGAGAGTTTTAAAGGCAAACACCCCGGAGAACAGTTTAATGGGGTCTCGTGGCATCAAGTTCAATGTACAGTTTACGGTGGCCTATTAATGTCCCAGAACAGACTGTCCAGGACACTTTCAGCTGTTCTTTGACTGTTCATAGAAAATAACGGACCCACCTCATTTTAGGCAAGGGTCATAAACTCATTTCTCGTCTATGTCTGTTGCTAAAAAATGCCTTCTTTACAGTCTAAAAAGGCTCTTTTTCTGCTTCACAGCGCTTGTTTCTGCGTTACAGTGGTACAGCAGCTGAAGTATAGCACCTACTGAAACAGCTTATAAAATCTACAATTCAACGTCTCCTTCAGAGCAGGATTTGCAGTAACTCCTTTCTTGTTTTACAGAATCTTGAAGCTTTGTTTGACAAATCTGAATATGGTGGATTTGCATTTTTGCCAGTAAAGCTACTTAAGACGGGCTGAATCACTGCTCTGTTTCCTAATGTGTTGAAAACACAGCCTTGGTTTGCCTGTAGTTTGTCCATGTGGGTTGTTCACAAGAGTAATAGTCGGGATCACGTTGCATGTGGTAATTCAGTGTTAACCCATTCAGGGCTTGTATATTGACAGACAAAATGTTTGAGTTTGCTGTGGAGAGCTTTTGATTCTATGGTCAATGTTTAAAGAGTGAATTTATTTGTGCTTCAGGAACTTTATACTGACTGTTGATCTGACAAAAAGCTGACTGTGATCTTTTAACTTGCTTTCTTTTCTCTCTTAAACGCTCTCTAATGCATTCTGTCTTCTGAAGAGTTGGGTTCACTGCTACAAGGCATTTAAACCAGTATCCCGCTGTTCCTGCTATCTTCATGTCAAACAACCAGTCTGGTTATAACTCTTATTGCGGATGTCATAGTTTACAGATTTTTGCTGTGCTTGCACATGCTTGTATAGAGTTTAAGGAAATAAAATGGCACTTATTCATTTTAGTCATGTAGACAGGTGTATAATTTAAATTGAGTAGTCTAGATGTTTGGTACAGTGCACAATATTGCAAAAAGTACTTATTTGATGATGATTGATTGCTGAGAGAGGGTATGGTTGATTCAGATCAATGGTTTCTCCCAAAGACTTCCTGTCAGGTGAAGAGATCTTTACTCTTTCACAAGTCATGATATTTCTGATTAATAGAACTATGTTTAGTCAATGCTGTCAATAGAAAACCCCATTGCAAATTTGTATAAACTGTATAATTGCAGAAACGTGCATTTCCTGAGTGTTGCAGCTGCTCACGTACTTGTTGACCTGTTGCCTCTGTTTCTTTAAAGTAACTTTTAAGGTCAATGTTGAGCTCAAACAGGTGTATATCTCCCCCATATTCACAGGGATTACCCAGAAAAGGTTGCCAGTTTTGGTTTGAACAGGGAGGCAAAGAAGTAAAACGCTGCACTGATCATTCCGTGTTTTAGTAGGTCTGTTCAAAGGTTCAGGTCGGAGAAGCCCTGACCCAAAGGCTGCGCCGTGTTGCTTCCCAGATGGGTTTCTCTGTGTTACAGCTGCAGGAAGCCAAGCCTGCATGGTCTCAGCTGTTCCACTGTCTGGTTAAAGCCAAAGCCTTGCTCCCTCTGCCCAGAAATGCATCCTAAATGGTGTGAGGCTGGTGTGCCTGTGTCTCAGCTGCATGTGTTGTCTATTTGTGAGCTTTATGAACACATTTCTATCTGTTACATTACTGTTTTGGTCATTTCTAATGGTTTAAATATGCAAATTGAGAAGCTATACCTTAAGCAAACCAAACCTGTATTTTAACTACCGGTATAGTCATTTTACCGTCTGTGACTTGGGCTGTCATTATATAATGATGATTGTCTCTGCCATTTATTGGGCATCTCTTCTCATCCTTCTTGCTCTTTTTCCCTCCTTTCCCCCTGGCCAGTCAAGATTCATACTGGGATTCAGCCATGTGGTAAATCAGACAAGACCTCGGTGGAATTGCATCGATTGGGAGGAATGTATGTAGCCAACGATTTTCAGAGATTAATGACGAGGAAAGAGGTGGAGAAATGGGGGGAGGAGCAAGGCGGCGCAAAGGCAAGAAGATAGAGTAGGAGTATATGAAAAAAAGGAAAGAGAAAACCCTTGAAACGTGAGGGGATGAAGTGGTTCTGAATTTTCCGACTGCAGTGGAGGTTATTAATTAAGGCAAAGTATTGATCATCCTCTTCATTACTTTCCCCTCCTCCTTGATTTTCATCTCTTTATTGCTGACCTTCTGCAGAGAACGGGCTCAATCTTTAGATGGGAGGTCAGTGAATAAGCCAAGGCACAGTGGAAGATCATGAATGAGTGTATTTACTTTTGTGTGTACTTTTGTTGGACAGGCTCCATCGCTTCCTATTTGGTTCCCAACCTAACTCGGTGCATCTGCTGTCACTTTTCCTTTCCCTCCTTATATAGCATGGCGAATGAAGTAAAGACGTCATAGTGATACGGTCTATTTCTCCCAAGTCGAAGCGAGACCCACCACACACCATCACACTCCACTTTGTCTGCCTTGCCTTCTATTACAGTTCTGACTTCTGCTCAGCTTTTGTATTTTCTGTAATGTGATTTTTGTCTCATGCTACTTAAAATTTCACACTTCCAGTTTTCCAGCACAGAAAAGTGAACGTGAGCAAGAAAAACACAAATTCCACCGTCATGGTGCTGCAAATTGTTACATTTATAGAAGGTTCAAACTTTCAGTGTTGTGGTAAAATCTAAAAGTTGTTTTTCTTTCCCATATTTTTGTATTGCATATATTTGTAGCTGCCAGTTTGTCATTTGCCTGGTCAAGTTTGGTGCCGTGTTTTTCTTTTTAGTCAACTTTGGCATTTAAGACGTACTGTATGGTGTAATAAACGTCTGTGCACAGAGCAGTGGGCTTAATCAGCCCGTCTCTCTCCTCTTTCACCCAGTTGAGATTAACCCTTGCTGAGCCAACTGTCTGACTCTGTCTGTGAGAATGCTGGGATGGTTGCCAAGGTTGGTTGCCTAGTTGTCATGGTTTCCCTGCTTCTTGCTGGTTCCCAGTCTTCCCTCGTGAAGGAAGAAAGGAGGTACTTTCTCCTGCTCCCATCTACTGTCAAACTGTGCTGACTCTGAATCTGTTGCTGACATTTTTGTTGCTCCTCAGTTTTTAAAGTGGCTGCCATCAAAAGGTATAGCCTCATAACAGTTAGACCAATAAAATGTCTTCCTTTATTTTCCTGTGAAGATTTGCTTTTGGCTGACTTAATATTTTTGTTTTCTGTCTGTACATGTACGAAGAATTGAGCATGATGAAAAATATGTGAGAATTTGTTTTTACATGTGTACAACACGCATGTGCAGGCCGTGTGCATGCACTCAGACATACGGCCATGGATCAGACCGGCTTGCTCCTGCTCTGTGCTGTGTTCCCATTTAAATCCATGAGATTAGCACATGTGGAGAGCCTCAGTTTAGTTGCCATCAGCTCAGCATGCCTTGGCAGGCTTTTCTCTGAACTGGGGGTGTGCAGCGTGGGGGTGCACTCTGTATAAACCCCCACCGCAGGCCAACACTTACCTATCTTTCTCTGCTGTACCCTATATTTTACCAAATATAGAAGTGAGCCCATGACCTTGACTTTAGTTCAGTTTTCCAAGTGCTGCATTGCATTATTGCAGTTCACAATGCGATTTCTTCAATATGAATGACACGTTATGAATGACTGAAATTGCACAAAATGCTACTTTTGCTGCAGCAGACCTGCTTGTAACTTACTCCCTTTAGACAGTTTTTTTTTTTAAGTAAGCATGCATGAAATAAATTGTGCACTCATTAAGTGAGTGCAGCACATACCAGATGGCGGAGACATGCTAATTGTGATGCATTCAGAGTTTTCAACGCCATGCGCTGCATTGTTAGTTCTTTTGATTTTAAAGCACAAAGCTGCTCATGCGTGAAACATCCGACATGTGAATGGGAAGAGAAGCTGAGGGCAAGAATAAGTTTAGGTAAGATAAACACGACCAGACCAGCAAACAGAAATCACTGCTCATCTTTGTGACGGGGACCGAGTTAATAAACTTGGTCATATACTAAACAAACAAACAAACAAAGAAAAACCATGCCATATAATCAAGGAGATTTTTTTTAGAACAAATCAAATTTTTGCTACTGATACCAGGAAGTTGAGTGACCAATTTACCATAAGGACCACAAAGATCACAGATGTTACAGCAGCTTGTGGCCCAAACTCTGTCCTCATGTGGTGTCACTTGATCAGATGGAACCTGCTGCCAGGTTAAG